TTCTCTTCTCCAGGCTGAACACCCCCAACTCTCCCAGCCTGGCCTCATAGCAGAGGGGCTCCAGCCCTCGGAGCATTTTAGTAGCCCTCCTCTGGCCTCGCTCCAACAGGTCCATGTCCTCCTGGTGCTGAGGGCTCCAGAGCTGGATGCAGGGCTCCAGGGGAGGTCTTACCAGAGCAGAGGGGCAGAATCCCCTCCCTTGCCCCACTGGCCACGCTTCTCCTGACGCAGCCCAGGGTATGGGAAATAGCACCCAAGGCAGAAGGTATTGGCCATCAGGGCACACAAGTGTGGCTTCAGGGTGTTTGGAGAGTTTGGTGTTCATCATGCCTTGCTGCTCACCGCCATCATTCTCTATTGAGTTTTTCATCCGATGGGTGTTGGTGGTTGGACGAATCGAGATGTTACAGATGGAGAGGTTACAGATTCCTGCAGCCCTATTAGAGGCTGGGGAAAAGGGGAAAAAAAGAAAAAAAAAAAAGAGCTTCTCTTATTTACTGTGACTAAAAACTGCTTGTTTGCTGCTTTTAAGCAAAGAGGGGGGAAAAAGTGGTTTCAGAGCAGTGAAGGGGGCAGAGGTTGTGCAAATGCTGGCACAAAAGGAAAGGGAAAAGCAACCCAGCCTGGAAAACACCCGGTGCTGCACAGAGCGGGGTCTGTGGCACTGAACAGCATCGCCTTGTCTCGCTTGCCAGACCCCCACCGCAACCACAGCTCCAGCCCGAGGACGCGAGGCTACAGGCAGCGAAGGCGTTCCTGCCGGAGCAGTGGCATTGCTCCCCTCCCGCTCCCCAGGTGCGGGGGGACGCCGGCCCCTGGCTCTCACCATGGTCCCGAGGGGCTCAGCCCAGTAGCATCCCGCTTGCCACCCCTGCCTGCCTCAGCCTTACAAAGCCCCTTGGGCAATGGTCAGGTTTTTCAGGCTAATTTTGGGCTTCGTGCCTCCTTCCCTGCAGAAAAGCAGTGGGAGTCTCAGCCCTTACCTGGCTTACATCCCACTGGGGCTGATGGGGAGAAAAGTCAGGATGAAGAGGAGGAGAAGGCAGAAAGAAAGGAGAAGGTGCTTTTAAGGTGTCTCCTCCCTTGCTGCATCATTAGGTGCTGGATGGGAGCTCTGACTCAGCTGCACTGATTTACGGGCTGACCAAACATCCTTCGGCAGCACTGATTGGGGGAGGCTGTGGATGGGGCTTTTCTTCTTCATCACCCTCCCACCACCCCCTTTTCCCTAAATCATGGTTGTACCACCTCACAGATACAGTCCTGAACCCCTTCGGCACAGCCAGGGCTTCTGGTCCTCATCACCATCCTCATGTCATCCACAAAATCTACCTTTATCATAAAATTTCTCCTCCTGCCCCTTCAAATCATGGGGTTTTTTCCTCATGTGAGGCTTTAAATCACAAATGCTCCCAATTGCTCCGGCAGTCAGACATAAGGGGCGCTACGGGGCTGCAACCTGCTGGGTGCTCCATACGTTCTCTAGGCACGGTACCTACGCAGCGTCGGCAGTGCCCGTTAGGGAGATTAACGACCAGCCCAGGCAACGCACGTAATTACGCACATTTATTTGCTTATAGGTGAGAGTTGTGGACATCCCCAATGATTTAGTGTTTGCCTGTCCTCGTGGAGACCAAAAATTCCTCCCCAGAGCCCCATGAGGCTCCAGAGGGATTTGAGGACTAAAACCACATTAAATTCTTGCCCATTTACAAAAAATGGGTCCTTTTTCATTAGCGGGGAGCTGCAAAATTGAGCCGGGACGAGGTGAAACGCCTACCCCGTAGAAAGTCCGAGGGAATATAAAGCGACCGAGGGGGCCTCTGGGATTAAAGACGCTGTTCTGTTTGTACTTGCAAAGCATGGCTTGGGAATGGACACATTTTAAAAATAACTGATTAAAAGCACTTGTGCAATTAATCCACTGCTAGGTTGGTCCCCCCCCCGTTCGGAGCCTGGTGCTCAGCTCTGCCCTGCAGCCACGGTGTGGGGGTTGGTTTTCGGGTGGGTTTGTTCCCTGCGTGTCCAGGGAGAGTTCCGTGCAGGCCAGAGGCAAACGGGCGCGTTGCAGAGGATGAATATTTCCTGCTAATAATAATATTGATAGAAAAAAAAGAAAAAAAAAATCAGAGACCCCAGCCCCAAACCTTGCTCTCACCACCCC